TTGTAGGTGGGGCTATCACTACGACTGCATGTGGCTGATTACTTGCGGGCGTTACTTCCTGGGTTTCGCTTCCTATATTCTGCATCTCTTTTGCAACTTCTTCCTCGATTTGATTTAGTCTGTCTGGAGCTACGCGTTGCTTATTGACTATTGATCGCCGTTGTCGTAACATGTGCTGCACTGTTAGATGTTGCAGCTCCGGAAATGGATCCAACACTTTCAGATGCAGCGCTGCTGCATGGGGTTCTCTTGTTGACTTGAGTTTGGTAACTTCAAAATAACACCGAATCACATATTCGTTCATTTCCTGTGTCCAAGTGATTCTCTGTTTGTTTTTTGGGCCTTGCGAGGCGAGCTGCGACTGTGGAGTAGCAGCAACGCTCTCATCAAGCACAAACACAAGATGTTGTAGAGTTTGATCGCTATTGTCATTTCTGGACGTAGAAGGTGTTGTTGCCCGTCGTTCCGATCCTCGGTCGGCCTCGTCCTCAGCTTGGGGTTCATGTCCTACACCAGCCTCCCAGTTGCTGGTGCGTCCGAGGCTTTTCCTTTGTTGTTTTTTGCTAGAAGATTGACTTCTTACTGCGGGGAGCAAACCCACAGGAAGGGTTTTGTAGCTGGATTTTTTTCAGCTCGCGATGTACACGAACCTACTCGTACTTCCTGGGATACCACAGGAATTGAATTCGGTCGGCCAGGTGTCTCCAGGGGCGGCGCCCGATTCCCTCCCGGATCCGATCCCCTCCCGCAGCCCAAGTCCGTTTCCGATTCCCTCCCGCTAATGACCTTTAATAAAATGAAGCAGCAACATTAATCATTCAACTTACCATTTCCAGAGAGGTGCGCAGTTTCCCGTGAGTGTCTCAGGAAAATTAAAAAAAAAAAAATTAGAAAAGTTAATGAATTTTGCAATTACATAATTCTTAATTACATCGGTGAAGGAGCCATTTTCCCCCGTCAAATGTGGGCAGAAAAAATCGCCGAGCCGACGAGAACCACTAACGCCTGCGAGAGTTTTCACTCGCGCTATAATTCTTTTTTTTACAAAGCCCACTCCAACCTCTTCAGTTTCGTGAGTGTATGTACTTAAAAAAATATTCAAGGACAGCCGAATTTTGATTAACTCTGCAAATCACACGGAGGCGAAACTCAGGTCGAGTATCATTCAAAAAATAAAATTCCTCGAGAAATGCATTGCTGAGCTGGATGCCAACTGCAATGACAAAGCTCTGCTGAAGTTCATTCGCACGGTCTCCCACCGGAATTTGCCCAATATTTTATTGTGAAAACCCTGTGACTTACTTTTGTGATTTTATTTTTTGAGTGACGCGTCGGGCTCCCTACACCCGTTTCAGCCTTTTTTCGGCATGTTTTCTTCTTTGACGCATTGGGCTCTATTCACCCGTTTCAGCATTTTTTTTTAGCATGTTTTCTTCTTTGACGCATCGGGTTCCATATACCCCCTCTAGTTTTTCTGTGTACATCTGGCAGCCATGAAGAGGGTCAGAAGGGGGAGAAGGTTCTCAAATTTTGTCTCATGCATACGTATGAAACAGACTTTGGGAACTTACGAGGGCTGTCCCAAAAGAAACCGGACTTTTGTCATAGAAGGCGAACCGAGCGTCGTAATGAAGTTTTCTTGGGCTTGTTTGAAAGCTGATAAGCTACTGGAGATGCTTGTTTTTACAGAATGCAAAAATTCGTCTTGGTAAGGAAACTACACGCTTTGGAATAAAGGAAAGTCAAACTCGAGTTGCGATTTTTGTCTTTATTTCAAGAAAAATTTGGATACAACTTTAAAAGAAAAACCCAGGTTTTAAGTTAAAAACTTCGTTGCTCTCTTACTCAAATACTTAAAAATAAGGAAATTAACATTTTAAGCAGCTTACAAGTCATCGCCAATCCCCTTCAAAATACTCGCCAGCTTTGTCGATGCATTTTTGCCACCGTTTCTTCAATCGGAAGAAACACTGTTGGAAATCCTCAGGTTTTAATGATCGCAATTCCTTCAAAGTGTTCTCTTGAATTTCCGGAATGGTTTGAAAACGTCGACCTTTCAAGGTAGATTTAAGTCGTGGAAATAAGACAAAATCATACGGAGCCAATTCCTGGTTTCTGCATCAAGATAATGCACCTGCCCATGCATCCCTCCAAATTCGCGAATTTTGTGCAAAGAATGCCATGAGTGTCCTCCCTCATCCCCCTCATTCACCTATGACCTGGCTCCGTATGATTTTGTCTTATTTCCACGACTTACATCTACCTTGAAAGGTCGACGTTTTCAAACCATTCCGGAAATTCAAGAGAGCACTTTGAAGGAATTGCGATCATTCAAACCTGAGGATTTCCAACAGTGTTTCTTCCGATTGAAGAAACGGTGGCAAAAATGCATCGACAAAGCTGGCGAGTATTTTGAAGGGGATTGGTGATGACTTGGTAAGCTGTTTAAAATGTTAATTTCCTTATTTTTAAGCATTTGAGTAAGAGAGCAACGAAGTTTTTAACTTAAAACCTGGGTTTTTTTTTAAAGTTGTACCCAAATTTTTCTTGAAATAAAGACAAAAATCGCAACTCGAGTTTGACTTTCCTTTATTCCAAAGCGTGTAGTTTCCTTACCAAGACGAATTTTTGCATTCTGTAAAAACAAGCATCTCCAGTAGCTTATCAGCTTTCAAACAAGCCCAAGAAAACTTCATTACGACGCTCGGTTCGCCTTCTATGACAAAAGTCCGGTTTCTTTTGGGACAGCCCTCGTACTATCAACCTAGCCCACTTTCTTCATCAAATCATCATAATTTTGTGAATTCACACTAATTTTCCTGAAACACTCACAGGAAACAGCACAGCTCTCTAGAAATGGTAAGTTGAATGATTAATGCGGCGTTGCCGCTTCATTTTATTAATGGTCATTAGCGGGCGGGAATTGGAAACGGACTTGGGCTGCGGGAGGGAATCTCGGGAGGGAATCGGACGCCACTCGTCTCCAGCTACTGGCTCCGGCGCTGCGGGATCGCCAGCCCCAAAAGGGGCCTCCCGTACAGTACAAAGTACACACTACAAAGCACACAGTACAAAGCACACAGTACAAAGCACACAGTACAAAGTACACAGTACAAAGTACTTCCCGTGCGGGCTTATTATTATTATTATTGTGAAGACTTAAATCGTGTGAACCTTAGACAGAAATAGATATTTTGTCTAAATTAAACTTTTTCATTTATTTTTTGTTCCAAAAGTTTATGAGTGTAATTTCAGGTGCTATTAACTTAAATAAGTGAAGTAGACTGATCGGTTAAAATGTATGAGTTCCTAAAAATCTAATGGAGTTCAACGCGTAAGCACCTTCCTGGTGATAAGCTCTGGTATGTCAGGCACTTATGATTTGTCTTATATTTGAGGGGGTTGGAGGATAAGGCGCATAAATGCAGTTTTTAAAAAAAAATTGAGTTCTAAATAATGTCAAGTAAAACTAGTCTTAATGCATATCCTCAGAAAAATTCGCTCCCAAAGTCCAATTTTAAGCATAAAAAAGTCAATATGAACTTTCTTTCCACCATATGGATCCACGTAATTTCGGAATATCAAACACGTTATTTCTCAGTACGGCAAAACTTCACTAATGCGCCTTGTCCTCCAAGCCCCTCATTTGTATTCATAATCCTTGACGAGCAAAATTCGGCATGTGTGAATTTTTTCCACTAAGGTTCGGTTTTTGTGGTTACCTACTGTTTATATTATCATCATTTTTACCTTTAGAAAAACTACAAACGAACACACAACTTATATGGAAAGTGAATTGCTTATAATCAGATATCTAGTAGCAGGAAAGTGCGCGGCAGCTATGCGGGTTGAGGAGGCGCGGCGATGGCGTGGAGGCGCTCCTAGGGGGTTAAGGCGCGCTCAAGAGGATTTTCTCCCCTTTTTCGTTCCAGATACGGCAAAGTGGACGAAATTTTCGCGCAAAACACGCTAACTTCTTCATTCCAATAGGAATTGACTCTTTTTATCTTCAAAATTCAATGTCTCAAATGATCATGTTCATTGATGAAATCACCCATCTCCGTTTGAAAGAACCGACACACAGAGAGGTTTCACATAGAGGTGCCTTATCCATTGAAGAGTCCAAACCGCACAACTGGTTGATCAGAAGTGCTAAGCCGGATTTAAATGCAGTCGAGACTCATTCGAATCATATTTAAGTTCAGTGGAAGGACCAACGAGATTCGGCCCCAGGGGCACGGTCTGACCGCGGGGCGCACGAAAGCAAATGCTGGTTGCTTCGGTCCCTCTCTAGAAACTGCCTTGCCGGTCAGCCTGGCTGTTATTAACCCTCTAACATCCTTACTTACTTTTTTTCTTTTTTACTTACTTACTTATTTACTTACTTCCTCACATACTTACTTACTTATTTACTCACTTACTCACTTACTCACTTACTTACTTACTTACTTACTTACTTACTTACTTACTTACTAGAGTCCCTTTATACCCAGAGTTAAGACATCTCGATTATCAGCTGGCCTGGGCTGGTCAAGGAGGCACAAAAGAGTGCACTCAAACGAACGATATTGAGGGATAAGGATAAGAAATCCTGCGATGTATGTCATCCAAAAACAACAACAGCAACATAACTGATCAAAACTTAACCAAAGAAATTGCAATAAAATAAAATTAGATTGATTAGTGGATAATTTCATAATCTATTTTCATTTTGGTGCGATGAAAATGACAATTCACTCTTGATAAACCACAATTGAGTTATATTTTCATTATTTTTGTACACATTCGAGGTACCGCCATCTTGGTGCACTCATTTTTAACTCCATGAGCGAGAACCAATCAGAATTGGATTTTTTTTAGGCCACTTTCAGCCCAACCGAAAGTGAGATGTCGTAACTCTGGGTATATAGGGACTCTATTACTTACTTACTTATGTGCTTACTTACTTACGTCCTTGCTTGGTTGCCTTCTATATACTGAATTTTTTATTTAATTCATAGGTTTATGGCAAGCTGACAAGGTATAATGGAGCGGACAGATTTGAATGGTCCCATAGCTATGCAAGAGTTCATCAACCAAAAAGGAAGTACACAACTGAAGGAGTATTTACTTATTTTGAAAACTACAAAGTAGAAGAGAGGGATAGAGTAAAATGCATAAGTGGAATGGAAGGTAAAGGCTTAATTTTACAAATTTCTTTTGTTGGACCATCAATAACAAAATAAAACTCGATGTTTAGAATTAAACAAAATTTTCCTGTCGACAAGAAAAGGAGACAGTTTTGTTGCCCAGCCCGCGCGTTTATTATGGCATTAGAGTATGTTTTAAAGAGCTTTCACAAATGTATTTCGTGCCTGGGTTGTAGATGCATCTTTATTTTAGTTCAAAATATTCATTTTTACCAGAGTTTTTGCGTTAATAACCACCAAAACGCAGCAACTGTCGTGTTGTCAGCTTAAATTCGATGAGGAACCAGTGCTTTGGTGGTTTCTATGTACTTTTAACATTTCAGTGAAACATTTTCGTTTTTATCCGCGTCATAGCGTAACCCCCTCCCCCTTCCCCCATATAAACTGTAAATTAGCTTTCTACACAAGTTTCATGTTTCTGGAAAAAGCTCCTTTCCCAACAGCTTTAAGGCTCTGGACTCCCCGGAACACTTTTTCTTCCTCTGTAATTATTTCGTTAGTCAAAGTTAAGAACTCTATCTCGGGGAATTTTTTGGGCTTGATAAGGTTCAAAAGTTGTCGATATCTCAAAAAAATTGGAATGAGATACGTATGTTTGTAACTACAGTAATAAAAGCAAGAATGGCGACTCTGTGCATCCCCTCAAACTAATTTATTTTCTGCTAATGGCATACCCTCTTCGAGTACTACCAGCGCATCTTTTCCCTTGAAACCTTGATCGTATGTTTCCTTTCTCGTGAACTCTTTGTCAGTTATACTAGAGTCTGTTAATTATTCTTTAGGCTTGTAGTTAATTTTCATACCTTGAAAATTCATACTATGTGTGGCATCCATAATCTGAGGGCTATTTAAATATTTTAACTACCCTTGAAATGGGTCTGTTGCACGTAAGAGATACAGCCAACTGAGTACATAATATCAGGGTAAATTCGCTCGAAATTCACATTGGGCACATCACTTAAGTCTGAAATCTGTTCCTTAGCGTGCAATCCGCATGGTTTGTAACATGATTTTTCGAGTTTACCTCGTCTGCGGGCAGTTTTACTTATCTCCCTGGTCACCGCTGACCAGGTTTGCACAGGAGTTAGAAAGAACTGCTCAAAGTAAACGAACGGTTAACCAACTTTTTCTATCGTACGATTGCATTGGTTTCCAAGCGTTTATCTCCTTTTTCCTTTTTTATTAGCAAAAACAAAATCTTTGAATTAATTGAAATCTTCCGCTAGGAAAGTTTATAACAGTTTCCAAGATTGTTCGTTCATTCAGGTAAAGTCTCTCATCGAGAAAACTCCCGAACTCTCTCCGCCAGCCACCAAGAAAAACGGCTCGCACACGCGGTAAATTTGAAAAAACGTATTTTAAACTACACAGATTGCACGCTAAGGAGTGGATTTCAAACTTGTTTGATGTGCCCATTATGATTTTGGAGCGAGTGTGCCCTTAAGAAGTGTATTCAGTTGACTGTATCTTTTGCTTGAAACATACCCATTGTCTCCATTGCTTCTTCTCTGTTTTCATTGCGTGTTTGCTTTTTCTTTTTTTGTAGATCAGAGTAGAATCAAATAAGTTTTGCTCTTGGAGCCATCGTTTTTTAAAAAAGTGACTTTAGTTATTTTAAAACTTCAGCATGTTTTCTGAAGTCCTCATACTCTTGGAAAGTCGATTTTAATAGTGGTCAATCTTCGTTTTCAACAGAAATTTTTTTTTGGCCTCTTTTATCACTGGAAGTTAATTTTTTTGTCCGTACCGTAGACCAACTAAACAGGCTTGTTTTCCTATCAATACGTGCGATAATAATACCGTTTTAAGTTTTTTTGCACTCATAGAGCTATATTCTTGTAGAAGAATAAAACAAAATATCCTTCAAAGTTTTTACTTTCAAAATTTAGCCCCCAAATTGCTCTAAAGTCCGATTTCTAGAATTTTGCGCCATCATTTTTCTCCTAAAAAGCCAGGAAATGTAATTAAACGCTTAATTTTAATTAATTTCTTTAGAACTAACTTAGAAGATGTGGTAGACAACTTTTTTAAAGAATTTCTACAGGTTTGCTCTTTTTAAAGCTACAAATTGTACAATTTTTTACTGGTCTACGGTACAGGACAATAACGTTACGGTACAGGACAATAACGTTACGGTACGGACAAACGGGCTACGGTAAGGACGAAGAGGCATTCGTAAATATTACTGTATGCAAGGGCCGAATTATAAAGAACTGAAATTCATTGGGGAATAAACTGCTAAGTTATAGCATAGCTTATAAGTGCCACTTTTATAAATAATTACAGGGAATCAAGGTAAAAAGAGTAAGTAAATCAGTTTTTCAAAAATAATGAACTGCTTTTATTTTAAAGTAAACGCATTAAATAATTAGGGACAAATCTTAGAAGCTGAGTTCTTAAAACAAGCTTGACAACGTTAGAACGTTTTAGGTGCACTTTTACAAAATGAGAAAGAAAACAAAAAGGTAAATTTATCGAAAATGTGGTCACAAATCACCTTAAATAAATATTTAAAGGACAATAAGAAAAAAATAAGTTAGATATTAACGAATAAATAATAAACGAATAAATTGCTATGAACTTCAGACGAAAAAGAGGACTCAAAGTTCTAAAAGAAAAAATGAAAAAAATTAAAAAGATGGCGATCCTTATGCAATCATCGACAAAAAACCCTCCTTCTTCTAAGTCGCGTCGTACTAAAAAAAAGTACGTCTCTCTTTTTTTTTTAAATTCCAAATGTTGGTGATAGATAAAATAAAGTAAAGTGGGATGATCTATCAAACAGTGCACCGATTTTTGGATGACTTTCGCATTTTGTCTGTACTTACCGTAGACTCGGCCTAGGGTGTATCTTATTTTTGAGTTTTGCGAAAATCAAGTTGGTCAACCCCTAAAAAGTTTCTATGTAGTCTCTAAATGAACCCCCTGAAAGGAAAAAATTTAAAAAAAATTTTAACCCGTGCCTCAAAGGGCCTAAAGGGCCTAAACCCAAAATTCAAAAATTTTGGCAAGCGACACATCAATTCTGAAGGAAAATGGCAAGTTACGGATCTTTTAGGACAGAAATTTCGTCCGTTTTGCCGTATCTTGAAGCGTAAGGTCACAAACGGCCCAATGACGACGTGAGGCTATGGGCTGGCGGGGCGCGCCG